TGCACCCGCCACAGGCACAGGGGTGGTGGCAAGGGGACAGGGGTCTGTCCCCTTACCCCCTGCCACTGCTTTCCCTGCCACAGCAATGGGGAGGACAAATTTAAGATCTTCCACTAATTAGGTTCTATACATGGAAAATAATAGCACCTTCCAATGTATAGAAGCTAAGTATTGGGGGTCATCTTAAGTTCAATGTCATCTTGGATTTGGGTGAGCGAAGTAAACAATTTCCCTGAAACTGCAGGATGACTTGTCTACAGTAGGATACAGTCCATGATTTCCCATTATTTCTACCACTGATACGTTTCTACCAGTGACAGCAGCCATGATGGAAGGTGCTGGTAGCTCCTGATTATTTTAAGTGGTCTGGGGCACCTATACATGAGTATGGAGGCTGCTCTGATGCACTGGAATTTCACTGCATCAAAGCACACTCGATTAATTGAGTCTGCTGGAGTGTGGCAATTACCACTCTCCAGCAGCCTCCTGTGCCTTGTGTATCAGTGTCCCTGTGCTTAAAAATGGCAGTGGGGGCACTTGATCTAAAGCTTGTCAAACAAGCTTTAGTTCAAGAGCCCCTGCCACCATTTTAAGTACAGGCACGCTGATACATAAGACGCAGCAGCACTTTAACTAAAGCGGCTCTTGGAGCCACTCTAATTAAAGTGCCACTCCCCATTTCCCGAGCACGTGTAGAAGTGCCTGTGACATCTAAACCTGCTCTCAGTACTTCCACACAATATGATTGTTAGTATGCTGGTGAACCACCCTTGCCTTCAGTGGTAGCCACCCTGGGAAACTTTGGGTAAAAATATCCTAGAGTTGACTTAGTTATTGTGTCTTTAATAGGTTGAGACTGGAACTTATGAACTCCTAAATTCCAGCCTCTTAACAAAACACCAAAACTCAAACTCTTGAGCATGCTGAAGAAATAGAACAAGTGTCTTGACTGTATGAAGGTTTACTTGATTTGTCAAATTAATGTCCCAGAATTAAAAAATATATATATTCTTCTAAAAATATATTCTTTAAGCGAAACTTGTTAAAGGTAGAATCAGCATAAACTAAATGACACTTGGTAGTTAATATTACATTTACATTAGTGTTCAAAACATAGAAGTTGGGTAATTTGAAACGGGCTAAAGATTCAGCATAACATTAAGTAACAAGCCTCTAAAACACTCAAAGAATGGTAGCAAATTTCAAGCCCTAGTTTTAAGAGCTTTAGAACTAGTGGGCCATGCAGTTTTTATTCTGGTGAAGCTCTATCAGTACCATGTGGGATATTAACTCATCTGTCTAAACATATGGCTCTTGACAAATGAAAGCTGCAGGGAGGATAGGCTTCTGCACTGAAATTGAAAACACTTTAAATTAAATCATTGCAAATATTTGTGCTTGTTTCTGTTAGAGGCCTATGAACCACTTGAGCTATTACTCTCTATCACCTTACTTCACAAGAGTCCATTGTTCTGAACTGAAAGCAGAAGGGATTTTTAATATGGAAACTTTTCCATTTACATCTGTTAGTTAGTATCCAGTTTTGTTGAAAGGAGGGAGATAAGCCAGGTTTTAATTCTCTGTCCTGTATCCTCAAGTTCCCATGTGCAGGACACCTGGAAAAGCTAGCAAGGCTAGTTTGCTTGCTTAGTGCAATTTTTTTGACCTTTTAATATACTTGACTAAGGATTTTATACCTCAGGAAGCCTTATAGAGCGGGATTTGAAAGGTAAGCTTCAAAGGGAAAATTAAAATAATTTTAGAAAAGGAACCTTTGCAAATTCACATGAAAAAATTATGACTTATCTAGGATCCTGCTTCCAAGAGGCAGCCCAAAACAGTAGTTTCTACACAAAGCAGTAGTTTCTACACAACTACAGCAGCTCTGCAACAGCTGCTACTCAATTTCTTGCTGCCTAAAAGCAGTTACTTTATAGCTATAAGCAGTTAGTTTATAGCTATATTTTTGCTGAATGCCAAGCCTAATTGATTGGGAAAACTAGACATTGCAGTTTTCACTAACTCACCTTCCACGTTTGGTTTGCAGATCACCTTTATTAATATTATGACAGTAGTTTGCACTGTAGCCTGTAGGCATTCTGTGTGCTGGGAACACAGAATCCTGATGTCATTTTTTAAAACAAATGTTCACTTACGTGCAAAGATTTTTTCAGTATTTAAGGCACTGAGGTTGGATACCAAAAATAAGATTAAGAACAGACTTCATAAAATAAGTTACCAGAGTTCAGAAGAGCCTACTGACCTTTAAAAGTGGGTAGGTGAATGATACCCCATGTTTCACATCATGCACAGCATTGTGTAACCACCACCTTGCATGCGTCTCAGAATGTAGGACAGTTCTCACTGAACTGGGGGAATGCCATAAGGGTTTCTGTGTAGAAAAGTGCGACAGTATTGACAAGCGCAGTGATAAAGAGACCACAGCTCTCAAGTCACAAGCGCCTGTTCACTTCTGACTCTTGCAAAAAATGTTATGAATTTTTTATTCTTTTTTCACTGGATGCATTGAGTGTGCGTTTCCTGCAATCATGAACAAAGCAATACATGTACTATCTTTCTCTATCTGTGCCAAGTAACGTACTTCAGGCTTTTCTTTTGAACTGAAGTCTGCCACAATTGACTGAAGGATGTATATGAGGTTGTGGTGCTGTGGCTCACACTGACTGCTCCTGTGACTCCTGAGCCAGTCACAAGTAGTGTAGCTGTGGGGAGGGGGGTCCACACCACTGCAGTTGGCACTGCACTAGCCTGGTGCTGCCTCATATGTCATGGCTGCCCCAGGCATGAAGTCACCCTGCTATGCCTCTGCCAGTCAGGTCTTTGTCACTGGGTGGGGGCATTATTTTTCACTCATTTTCCTTTTCTTTTTGCTTCTAGGATAGCATTGAGTTTCGAAACATCTGCAGTCACATGGCCTCACAAGGGCAGGGATGGCAATTTGACAGAGACTTGTATGCAGCATATGAAGGTTTGAAGACAATTGTTAAGAAACTGATTTGTTCACTTGCAGTTTTCCCCTCAGAGTCTTATGCCATCGCCCGATCTTCTCTGAGGCAAATCTTACAAAACCTCCCTGAGATGAGAGAAACAAGATCATACAGATGAGCACCACTAATACCCATAAGAAATAAAAGCCTTATAGAACCTTTTAACTGCCTCCAAAATCATGAATAATTTGAAAGGCTGATACTACAGTCTTTACCTAAAAGAGTGGTCCTGTTCATTTCACGCAAATAAGAGCTTCATAATCAAGGTCCAAATACTGCTTTCATGCTGAGCATCTCTGTCTCTGGAGTTTTAGTCATCAGTGGAAGTTAACGGCTAATTTAAGGAGGAGCTCTGCATTGTGTATGACTGTACTTCAAATAAAGAGCATTGCAGAACTGAACACAAATATTGAGGTAGCATGACAAACAATGCTGGTTGAGAAGAGGACTTACCGAAATCTGTGACTGTCCATCCATCTTAGTGATAAACTTGTTTCCAAAGAATTTTTTTAGCTAGTTAATACTTTACTATGAAGAAACAACTGAACTGAAGGGTTAAGGTGTGGAGTTGCCAATTCAGAAAAGGAAAAGGAAAACGAGTAAACTATTATAGACCATGGGAATCAAAGTTTTAAAGTAATAAAAACTCTCAGTAGTTGATCTCATGAATGTTAAGGGAAATCAAATACATAGGGGCCATGAGTACGGCTGTACTTTAACATATTTCATATTTAAAAATTGTAGCAAATATTTGTGGAAGTCATTTTGCAAAACTCTCCCAGCTCTGGTGGCTATGCAGTACACAGTAAAAAAAATCAGCTTTCTTAATGCCAAACTGGGAGCATTTGTGAAGTCCAACTTGCTTCTGTTGAACATCTGCAGCTGCAATGTTGAAAAGAGGCATTTTTCCTATTTGCAGTAAGATTTAATGTCTGTGTGATTGCTAAGCAGCAATGAGGCTTTGTAGAATCTTTGTTTGCAAAGGCTAAATTTAACCCATATTAGCTGTAACTCATGCAGTAGATGAAGAAATTCTATAGAGCACGATATAGAAAATTTCCTCTGTTGGCTGTTGTAGTGGATTTGGAGAGGTGATTTTTTTTCTTACGCATTTTCGTGAACATAATCAGATGAATACTTTTCAAGTATGATTCTGTATATTCGTTGATTGGCCATATTTATGTCCACACTTTATACATGACAGTGCTCAGTTTTATAGGATCTGTATCATGTATTTGAAAAAAATCTATGAAAAGCAATACCAAAAATAAATATGTGAAAAAAGTGCGGGGGTGCAGGGGGGAGTGCCTTTTTTGTATTTGGATCTTTCCCTAAAGGAAAATGGGGGAGGTGAGATGTATACATTATAGCAGGGGTGGGCAGATGTTGCCTATGCAGGCCAAATCTGGCTGCAAGGCCATTTTATCCAGCCCGCGGGGCCCCTAAAAAAATGTAGAAAGTTAATATTTCTCTGCCCTTGGTTCCTATCAAAAATGACCCAGTAGGACCCAGGGGAAGCCCGGCAGGCTCCCACAACAGCAGGGCCTGCCCGGCACCACCCCCCAGCCGGAAGCCCCAGCCGCAGTTTCTGGGCTGGGAGCACATGGCTAAGCTCAGGTAAGGGGGACCCCAGGCAAGAAAGGAGTGCAGGGAAGGGGGGAAGTGGCCCCTCCCCACCCACGCCTGGTGCCCTGCGCTGCAGCTGCTTGCAGCTTGTGTGGGGCTGCCTGTGCCTGCTCTAGACAGCCCCATGTGGGCTGCGAGCGCCCGCAGTGTGGGGCACAGGGTGTGGGGTGGGGGAGGGGCCACTTCCCCCCCCTTGCTCAGCTTTTCCCTGGGCTCCTTCCCTATACGGAGAAAAGTGGCCCCTTGTCTGCCCAATGGCTGGTGCCCTGCATTGCAGGAACTCACAGCCCACACGGGGCTGTCCAGAGCAGGCACAGGCAGCCCCAGGCAGGCTGCGAGTGGCTGCAGTGCGGGGCGCCAGGCATGGCATGAGAAGGGGTTGCTTTCTCCCCTCCCCCCTCCAGGCTGGCAGAGGGGCGGTCTACAAGCTGGTCCTGAGCGTGGGGAAACATGGCCCCTTGCCCACCCCATGCCCGGCACCCTGCGCTGCAGCCACCTGCAGCCTGCATGAGGCTGCCTGTGCCTGCTCCAGACAGCCCCACGTGGGCTGTGAGCACCTCCAGTGCAGGGCGCCGGCCATGGGGCAGGTGAGGGGCTGCTTTTCCCCATGCTCAGTACCATCTTCTTCCCTGCTGGTGAGCAGGGGGTTGGGGCTTTGTGCTGCCCCCTGCCTGTGCCGCAGGGCTGGGGGGAACTGGGTGTGAGCAGGTGGGGAGCCATTGGGAGCACAGGGCCAAGACCGGTGTCCCAGGGCCAGTGCCGGTGGGGCCGAGAGCAGGGTGGCAGGAAATTGGGGTCCCAGCTGGCAGGGGCTCTATGGAGCCAGGCCAGCTCCCCCCTCCCTGCTGGTACAGCCCAGCCCAGCTCCACAGACCCCTGCTGGCCTGTGCCCCACTCTGGGCCACACCAGCACTGGCCCTGGGACATTGGTCCCAAGACATTGGGACGTTGGTCCCAAGATGGTGACCAGGGGCGGGGCACCTGTCAAGGGATGGAGCACCTGTCAAGGGGTGGGGCTACACATGCAGCCCTCGACAGCCTGCCAAAATTGGGTAAGCAGCCCTCCACCCAAAATAATTGCCTGCCCCTGCATTATAGCATCCCACCTCCTATGCACCTCATGGACCCAAGTGGCCTTTAGGCAAATTATGTATTTAATTATTTATTTATTCATTTATTTCTGTATGGAGTTCCCTGTGGTTTGGTGGTAGAATTCTTGTCTGTCAAGTAGAAGACCTGGGTTCTGTATACAACTACAGCCACTGAGGCACTGAATGTCTAGACTGTCTAGCCTTTGGATTCTGTCTAAAGTGAGGATGGAAGGTCATGGCAGCCTCTACCCCTTTATACTCCTGCCTGGGTGACCTTTCATGCATGCATCATGATCCAGAAGGACTGACGGTTCCCTCCTTCTACTACTCCTTGAGCACGTCTATGCAAGATGCTATGTTGCTGTAGTGATGAGCTATGGCAATGTATCATTGGTGGGCTCAAACTGTGATGCCACTGCTACTATGTAGTAGCAACAAGCTACTGAGCAGTAGCTTGTTGCTACAGTGCAGTAAGGTCAGAAATGACCCATGTGGCACTGGGACTGCACAGTACCAGTGGTTATTGTGCAGTTATTTAGTACTTGCTTTAGTATTTGCTTTAGCAAGTACTAAATGACTGTGCAGTAACATTTGCGCAGTCCGGCACATGTGTAGAGACAACCAGTATGTATGCATTGTATTTATAATTAGGGATCTCAATCCCAATCTAAGTTTGCAGGTAAACTGAAAAGTAAATAATGGGTCTACATATGCTATCCCCAACTGAGCCTGGCTCCCCACACAGCTGTTTCTTGCAGCCCTGGCTGGAGCAGGGGAGGAGTAGCTGAAACAATGGCAGTGGTGGTCAAGTTTCCCCTTCCTGCACTCTGGGACGTAATTAGAGAGGGCAAGCAGGGAATGGGAGAGGAAGACAGGGGATGTGCCACTGAGCACATAAAGGAAGGGTGGGGATGCCAAGAGCTGGATTGGAGGGGGAGATTCTTACTTGAGTCAGGAACTTTAAAAAGTCCCTGGATGCTATACCCATGGTGCAGTCTGCCCACCCCAGTGTGGGAAGGGGAGGTGGGGGGACAGAGAAGTCTGAGAGCCCAGGGAAGCAGCCACCCCTGCAGCACTGATCACTGCTCCTGCACTCCCCTTTTCAAAATTCTGGATCTGTTTGTGGTTGTTTTAGTACAGTGGTGTATCATATATTCATGAAAGTTATTATAATGAATCTACCTTTATTGTGGTATCTTCCCACAGAAATAACAGGAAGAAGATAAAAGGCTCAGTGAAGTGTGAGATATAGCTCATAGAGTGTTTCCCAGTGCTCCCCTCAGAATGGAGAGATTTGGAGGCAGTAGCTGGCAGTTAAGGCATCTCACTGTGGCTCCAGAAACATAAACTCAAGCCTTGCTCTGGACTCCTGCTGAAGGCTAGTCCCAATCAATCTAGCTGCATCATTTGGCTGAAGAGTCAAAGGCAGCCAGACATGGAGCTAGCAGTAGCAACCAGTGTGTGCTGCTGGCCATAGAAATTGGTATGACTTAATTGTGCTAGGGTTGGCTGGACCTTTGACTTTGAGAGTACATATGGGACACTACCCCTGAAGAGTCTAACCTTTAAAGAACTCTCTTTTGAATCCTTTGTGAGATAGCCTGTTCTGCAATGTGGGACCTCTTTCTTAGCAATGCAATTATTCTCAGAAGCCAGAGAGGTGCTCTCCATCTGGGAATCTAGTGTTTTAAAATCTGCTGTGGTTAGGACTATATGAGAGTCTTTCTTTAGAGCTATTTGGATCAGCATTGATTACAAGAAAAACATTCCTTTATTTTTCCACTATTAACGCCAGTGGTTCCCAATCTTTTCAACTTTTGGTATATGCCTGACCATTACAGCTGAATTTGTGAGGATTGCAAACCCATTCACTGAGTGCTATGACCCCAATTGGGGTCATAACTCCCACACTGGGAATAGCTGATTTATGCAATTCACCTACTAATGTAGCATAGTTATTTCTTTGTTGCTGCTGTTGTTCTCATCACATATGTCAAGGGGGATGGTTTAGTTTAAAAAAAAAAACCTCTACAGGAAATGTTTATTATCCAAACAAAAAGTTTTCCCTTAACTGCTAGTTTAATAATAAAAAAAAATTAAAAACAAAACTTACCTTCTTGGTGTAAACTACCACATGGCCTTCAGTTAAGGAATACCCATTGGAAAAATCCTCACCTCTGAGTCAAACACTCAACTCCCATTGACTTTAAGTAGAGTCAGGTTTTTACCTAGAATCACAGAATCATAGAAAAGTAGGACTGAAAGGGATGTCCATGTAGTCCAACACTCTGCTGAGGCAGGACCATCCCTGTCCAAACCATCCTATACAAATCCATTGTCTAACTTCTTAGCAAAACAACCCAGTCATCCAACACAAGACAACACCCTGATCTGCCAGACATAAAGCACGAGGACCATGGCAGCCAAAGTTCTGCTGCTGCAAAGGTTGTCGAAATATAGACCCAAGGAAGACTTACATCCCTCACTACAGAGGAAGGCAAAAAAACCCATGTTACACCTGACCATGGGATAAAATTCCTTCAGGAGCCCAAATATGTCAATTGGTCTGACCCTGAGCAGAAGGGTAAGACTCTCTAGTCAGGAACCTCCAGGTTTAAGTCTCATTGGCCATGTCTACACGAGATGTTGCCTATGCAGAGGAAATATTCCTTCCCAGCCCTGTATGGCAACCAGCAAAGCCCAAAAGCACAGGAAATACCCATTGTAGAGCATAGGCATAGGGGCCACATCTACACAAGCAGTGGACTTGCATAAGTACTGAATGACCATGCCGTAACCAGCGTTACTGTGCAGTACCGTCCCCACATGGTTTGTTTCCAATGCTACTGCACAGTAGCGTCACAATGCTACTGTGCGGTAGCAATGAGCTATTGAACAGTAGGGCTGTGCAAGGCTTTGGACAGAGCTTTGGACCCGGAGACGCTTCGGGTGCTTTGGGGTTGGAGCAGCACATCCAGGTCAAGGCAGTGCCTCCCAAAGCGCTTCGGAGCCACCTCCGAGATCCAGCCATAGGGTATAATGGGGAAACAATAAAATACCTATAACTTTGTTGTTTTTTCATCTGATTTGGA